TTCCTCAGACCCAATGTGACATTCAGTTTTGATCATCTAAGATGCTTTTCAGGATTACCTTCAAAGGGTTGAACATGCAGCAAAGGAGAGAGGAGCAAACTCTAACTAACTCTGGTTCCTCAGTTAGAAAGCACTTTTTAAAATATTTTGTGTAATGACTGAAATGACGTTTATTTACTGAGTCAGCCTTTCATCGCCTGAAGAACATTTCCAGGAGTAAAGGACTAATGTCTTGGATCTATAAAATTCGTTCATGCCTTTATCTTTAGTACAATCAATTACTGCAACAGTGTCTTTACAGGTTTGCCTAAAAAGTTCATTAGACAGCTGATCCAAAACTCTGCTGCCCGTGTTCTCACTAGAACTAAGACAGTAGAACGCATCAGCCCAAATCTGTAGTCCTTACACTGGCTCTCTGTAGCTCAGAGAATAGATTTTAGAATCCTTCTGTTAGTCTACAAATCAGTGAATAGATCAGCAGATAAATACATAAAATACTTGTCAGTGTATCAACCTCCCAGACCACTCAGGTCTCCTAGTTCCAGCCTACTATGTCCACCTAGAACTAGAACCAAACATGGAGAAGCAGCACTTAGTTCCTATGCTTGTGCTTGTTTAGAGCTGACTTTGACTGTTAAACTGTTAACTGAGGCATCATCAGTTTAAGGTTGTGGTCCCAATGTTTTATTCGTCTTACTAGGTGCTTTTATTCTTTATTTTTCTTTAATTTTATTGTTTAATGAATATAAAATTTTACAATGTCATTGTATTGAATTGTGTTATACAAGTAAACTTACCTTGCCTATTTTCTTTGAATTAAACCACGTTCTTTCCAGAGAATAAAACATAAGGATTTCATTTTTAAACATGTCTGTGATTCAGAAGTTTTTATACTTAATACTTATAATTGTTCTTTAAAGTGTAAAGCTCTTTAAATATTGCATGGACCTGTTTCCAAAGGTTCAAATATTTTAGTTAATTAGAAGGCACGTTCCAGATTTAAATTGTTTGTAGAAGTATAAACATTATTTTTGTTTGGTTACAAATAATTACTCAAAGGGTCTGTGTAACATTTGCCATGTTTCCATTCGACTGAAATTCCAGTTTTTTACAAAAATTATAAGGAAATGCAAATTTGTGGTGTTTCCATTTGATATGAAGCGAATTAACCAGACTGTGTAGAGGTGGCCTACTGCGTCGTCCATATAAGGGCATCACACATGGGTGTAGTAAATAGGAAGAACAGGCTGTAATCTAGCATGGACCACATATCAGTAATGGAGGAAAGTTTTAACGAATGTGTTAATATAAGATTAACATAGATCTACATATATATTCATCCAGCCGATTGGATCACACTTTGTTATTATTACAATAAATCCACCTGGCAATATTCTGCCCAGCAACGCATCCATTAACCAAAAGGATTTCTCTTCATCCTTGGTGATGATGAGGAGGTAGCCGGCGATAAAGTTCATCCCCTGGAACAAACAAAACAATAATCATGAAACAGATCAACACACACACACACACACACACACACACACACACACACACACAC